CAAAAGACAGGGTCTCTGAGCAATTTTCTTGCTAATAAACTAGCATCTTAGGGAAATCATTCAACATATTTGAATCTCCATTTAAAACTATCAAATAGGATGATAAACAGAGGTTCTATGTAACATACAAAAATACAGTGATCGTTAGCTGAGATACTAAATATAAAAATGCTTTGAAATGCATTAAATACTATATCAGATTAAGGATTTTAATTCTATCCTTCACAAAATTAGTTCTACATAGGATGAAATAAATGACACTGAAAAACATTTGAAATATTTTCCAATTCTTTCCAATTTCAGAGCCTGATAGTTTTCACCAATAGTAATGTTCACATTATTACTTTAATCATAAAACCCCCAAATATATTAGAAGGCACATAGTGACCAATAATAAAAACGTTTCCTAGCCTCCTTTGCAGCAAAATGTGGCTAATGACCAGGTTCTAGTCCATGAGATATAAATGGAAGTAGTACTTGTAACTTTCTTCCACTTCTCAACTGTTGTTTGAAATGTAAATGAAATGGCAGCAGTTGGAGTAGCCATTTTGGACCTGGAAGCTGCACATAAGAATGAAAAGTAACCAGAAAGAATCTGGACTTCTGGTAATGTCATGGAGCAGAATTACCAAATCATCTCTGTTTTAAGTTAGAGAAAAGTAGTTTCAATATTATTTAAGTTACTATTATTTTGAGTGTCTCTGTAAAAGCGGCCAAATGTTGACCCTCCCTATCCAATATATTTATATTTAATTTTTAGTGATATATGCTCACTGCCTTACTAGGTCTATGTAGTGGATGTTCTTCCTCTTCTTAGTAATATTTCTACTCAGACCTTAAGTTCCTTTAAAGGTATAAGCAAGTGGGCTCTCATATTTCAAAACTGGATCAAACCATCTAGGACAAAAGGCAAACACATTTATACGTTAGGAACCATATCCTATATGTTGTTGTTGTTGTTGTTATGTGTCGTTGAGTCAGCCCCGACTCATAGCGACCCCTCCTTGGGTTGCCGAGGCAGTATCATTACGGAAGTAGATTGCCCAACTTTCCTTCCAAGGACTGGCTGGTGGGTTTGAACCACCAGCCTTCTGGTTAGCAGTCAAGTGCTTTAGGCACTATGCTACCAGAGCTCCTATATCCTATATAACTTTTCTTTTAAAAAAAAATCCTAGTGATGATATCCTTAACTGTGTTCTAATATTGATTGCTAATCTTATCAATTATTAGTAAGAATATCCAAATAATTCTCAGAGAAGTATTCTTCTAATTACTAAAAGTAGGATGTCAAGAGACTAGGAGATAGAATGGATGCTATGTATCTCAGTCTTTAAAAATAATTTAAACACATGTGCACACACTCACATGCACATATACATAAGGACATCTCATCCCAACCTGGTAACTGAGGCTGCCAGTGCCAAGAGAAAAGGACTGTTTACCCGGAAAGTGTCAGAATAGATAGTAGGTGGAACTCCCTAGGGGATATTTTTTGCTTTTTCTTGGGTTTTTGACACTAATGTATCTGGAATTGATTTGGTTGGAGATCTTAAAGCTGCTGATTCCCTATGCATCCTTAGGCCTAGGTGCCTTTCATTGACATCCCTCCCCTCAGCTTCACTCAGCATGTAGGTGTGCAGTCAATTTTCAGAGAACAAATTCCTCCCTACCTCCCCATTTCTATCAACACAGGACCCCAGGGATATGACAAATGTGCCGCTTTAGAATGAAATGATATGAGGAGGAAGCCCATGTCAGTCTTTTTAATTTGCTCAGCTTTGGCCTCAGGCCAACACAAAGAGATGGTTTCTCCTCTGAACATCCTGATAACTCATCTCAAGTGAAGCACCATACATCAAGCCTTCAGCAGCAAGGCAGTGGAAAGCCTTTTGATATAAATCCCAAGGTGCCTAAGGAATGGTGTGAAGATAGCAGTGGCTGCCTCCAAGTCTCAGCTATGCCTGAATTCCTTGCCAAAATTTTAGTGTGAGTTCAAAAGAAACAATCTGAATGCTTTCTAAGTTGTTTTGATTTTCCACATCACAAAATACCGATTGTTACTGTGTTTGTGCATGTGCATGCATGCCTGTGTGCATGTGTGTGTGTGTTTCACAGTGGTAGGCTGAAGGACAATCTGCAGTGCTGCCATTCCAGGCAGAACATTACATCCTAACAACAAAATGTGAAGATAAAGAGAGAGCAGTTCATTAATCCCAAATGCAATACTTCCTTCCCTATCTCTGAAACAAATCATCTGTAAGAAGACTGTAATATCTTGTCACCCTAATTTCTACCAACTAACAACGAATATTTACTTGGCTCCTTTTAACTCACTCTAGTATATGGCTCAAAAAAGTACAATTGTCAAAAAAGTCATTAATCTCTCAGCTCACTGATGTGTCAGAGATATGGAGGAGCCTGGACTTACCTAAGGTGGCCCAGCTCTGGAGCACTGCTAGTTTGGTTCTGCCATAGTTGTGCATCCACATGACTTGCTTAGAGACAAGTGCTTTCCGGGCAAGAACAGCTGGCTTCTTGCATGATTGGTGGGAAGCTTTTGACATCATGAGTCCTAATCCTTATGGACACCATGATGAAGTAAAAAGAGAATCACCTAGACCTACTTTGTAATTTGTAAGGAAGCTACTTTTCAAGTCTGTGGGCTTCACTTTTCTCGTCCATGAAATGGGGATGAATAAATGAATGATTTAAAGTGTAGAAAGAAGCTCTCCCAGTTCCTAGCATAGATGACACCCCCAAAAGTGTCTTTCCTGGCATGGCAGATGAAGCCAAGGGCCATAAGAAACATATTTTGATAGAGATGCTGCTGAGAGGAAGGGCAGGGAGGCAAACCATGAATGCTTGTGGGATAACTGACTCTCAACACAGAGAGAGCAATCTGGAGGCTGAGGTGGCTGTCATAAAGCTGGCTTACACATCAAACCTGTTTGATATCAATGGAACAGCCCTTTCAATCTGATTTTGGGTTTCCCTCATTTAGATTTCAGCTCCTTGAAGGAACTGATCATATCAATCTATTGTGAAACTTTCTACCCAGTCTAATCCTTCTACTGAATGCTAGATAAAGGCTTTCTATTTCCTCTTCCCTTTATTATTTAATAAACTTTTTCTGTCATTATCGTTGTGATTGGGAAAAGTTAAAGATAAGAACACTTGGCAATGCAGCAATTTTTTTGTCGAATTTGATACTTGCTAGCCTAGTTTTCAAGGAACTCTGGTGGTGCTGTGGTTAAGGCGTTTAGCTACTAACCAAAAGGTTGGTGGTTTAAATCCACTAGCTGCTTCATGGAAGAAAGATGAGGCAGTCTGCTTCCACTATCATAAAATGGGCTTAAATGCTACACCTGTTGTATAGCAATGAAACAGGCCTCTTAGTCTGCTTTGGGGTTTTCCTCATTTAGATTTCAGCTCCTTGAAGGAATCTATTGTGAAATTTTCTACCGACTCTAATCCTGGCTTGCCTGGTTTGCTCAGTCTAACAACAGTAAAGGTTGTATGGTGAGAGAAAAAGTTTTGGGGTAGAGATGCTGGGAGGTAGAGTCTTTCTAAACTCTTGGGATAATCACCCATTAATGATGTTCTATATCTCCTAGCCTAAATCAGATTTATTATTTCTTTGTTGTTGTTGTTATGTGCCACTGAGTCAGGCCCAACTCATAGCGACCCCTCCTTGGGTTTCCAAGGCAGTATCACTATGGAAGTAGATTGCCCCATTTTCCTTCCAAGGAGTGGCTGGTGGGTTTGAACCTCCAGCCTTCTGGTTAGCAGTCAAGTGCCTTAGCCACTATGCTACCAGAGCTCCCATTATTCCTTTGTTGTTGTTGTTGTTGTTATGTGCTGTCGAGTCGGCCCCGACTCATAGCGACCCCTCCTTGGGTTTCCGAGGCAGTATCACTATGGAAGTAGGATTGCCCAACCTTCCTTCCGAGGAGTGGCTGGTGGGTTTGAACCGCCAGCCTTCTGGTTAGCAGTCAAGTGCTTTAGCCACTATGCTACCATTATTCCTTTAGTGACCTCCAAATATATTTTGTATACATGTGAGCTAAATTCCTATTTCTCAGGCCTGATTCTCTTTTAAACATCTTTCCATATCAAAGAATATGACTACTCTATAAAAGGTGAAACTCTGAAGCATTCCTTTAAAATATTTAAAATATTCCTTTAAAAACTAAGAGTTTATCACCAGTTTGAAAATGTCGAGTTAACCTCCTGCTTTTATTTTTATTAATTTACCAGTATTTCCTCACATTGAAAAGAAATATTGATAAAGTGTGATCTTGTTAGGTATTAGTAAGTTAGCAAGATTTCTCGTAAACCCCACTACCAATGTTCATTATTTCTTAGGGGCCACAGCCATCCTCATTCTCCATCCACTTCTCATTCCTTAAAAGAGGGGAGAAGAAGTATGTCTAGGATTATGGTGCAAGGATTCTGTGGGATGTGGGTCTCTGGGAATGGTCAATAATAGGGTAGTTTTGCTAAACTGCAACAACAAAACACACCACTCTACTTATGATTTAAATCACATTCAAATAGAGTTCAAAAGATGGGCACCAATACCCAAGTGAGGGTTGGCTTCAAACCTCCTCTCAGTGCTGAAAGTTCTCTCTCTTTCTCCTCTCTTTAAACAGACAAATAGTTCCATTACAGAGACAGACAGGTCAGTTTCAACAGAATATCCAAGTTGTCATTTAGCCTTTCACTTGTGCCTGTGTAGGTTCTAGTTATCCCAACTACAACCTGTGCTTCTGCGCAGGGACTGTTTCCTTTTCCGTGCTTCTCTCCTTAGCAAGCCTTCTAAGGTGGTCTATGCTGGATGGGTTCCTATCCTACTTGATAGCACTGATTGAAAAATGACAGGGGCAGGGGGTGGGAAGCAAAACAAAGAGGATAATCTCCATCTGGACAAAATGCAGACAAAGAGGAAGCAGATGTTCATATCAAGTCACATACAGCCAGCCAGCCTTCCTCACTCTCCAAGGTAATTCAACAAAGGTCAGTGCGCCTGCTTATCCTCCAGGAGAGGAGAAGGCCAGGGGTCACCATCTCACCACCTGGCTGTTGTAGTCCTCAGTGACAGCCCCCTCTGAGGCCCCATCCTCCTTTGGCCACCGGTGGCCTCTATGCTCCCGCTGCAGCCTCCGCTCCTCCCGTCTCTTTTGCCGGTCCCTCTGGTGCTCTAGCTGCTTGGTGTGGTGATAGCGTTGCTGGAAAAGATCTTTCGCATACTCATAAAGCTGCATGTCCAGGAAGTTTAGCTCCTCAATGCGCTGGCGCGCGCCTTCGTTAATCTCCACATTGGAAGCCCGTGTGATGTTAAACTGCGTGAAGGGGGAGATGAATTTGAGGTTGAATGTCCTCTCAAACAGAAACTGTGTCTTCCTCTGGAATTCGGTGAGCCCGAAGAAGGCCATGTTCTTTAGGTTGTTTTTCGCGCTCTGCAACAGGATGGTGTTTCTTTCACTTTCATTCATGAAAGTCAAATTGTAGCAGCCCACCAGGCTGAGGTCAGCCAGCATGCGCACCTGGCGGTTGTTAGCCAGGTTGTAGCTGCAGTCCATGAACTCCCGCAAGCTGACCCCAGACCAGTCATCGCCAGGATAGCAGGTAGGCAGCTCATCGGGTGTGGGGCTTCTCCCATCACACATATGGAGAGAGGTTTTCCACGTAGCCCCTCTCTGGACGTGTTTCCACTCACTCAGGTAACGTGACACTGGATCCCGCAACATCGTGATGTAATAAAAATTCCTGGAAGAAATTAGAGGAAGAGTGTCAGTAGTTGACAGCAACAACAACAACATGAACAACAACATGAGGATTCTTTAGTCATGGAGGAGGAGCTCTGGTGGCGCAGTGGTTAAAGCATTGGGCTGCTAACCAAAAGATTGGCAGTTGGAACCCACCAGACACTCAGCGGGAGAAAGATGAGGCAGTCTGCTTCCATAAAGATTAACAGCCTTGGAAACCCTATAGGGTAGTCCTACTTTGTCCTATACGGTTGCTTAGAGTCTGAATCAACTCGATGGCAGTGTGTTTCCTTGTTTGTTTGTTTAGTCAGTGGACTCTATTGCCAGATGTTCATGTGAGATTGTTTGCCTGGATGAGTGCCTATCAGATGTATATGCATATTTCCCTACAAACACATGGACGTTTTTTCAATGTTAAGTTTATTGAGCCTTTCCTCCCCATTCCTGTATGGAGCAAGATGTGGTTGAGGGTGGGGATCTATCTTTAATTTACTCAGCAATTAGTCATTGATAAGTTACTGCTGGCAATAACACCATTTTACATTTAGAGAACACACTTTGATGTTTAAAAGTTGTTACCATCCAATATTTCATTTGATCCTTCCAACAAACCTTTGTAGTAGACAGGAGGCTTTTGATAAAGAAACATATGCAAGGAGGTAAAACAATTGGTCCAAGGTCACAGGACTAATAAGGGCTTTGTGGGACCCCAATTACCTTATTTTTCTCTTTACAGTGCTATTCTAGATTATGAGGTAGATAGACAAGGTAGGTAGGGTTAGGGTAGGTTGGGTGGGGGATAGAGACTAATATTTGCTGAGCATCTAGTATGTTCTAGGACCTGTGCTAGGTGGTTTATGGATGCTACAACAGATTATCCTTGACACACTTTGTAAAATGAGTTTATTATCACTTCTTTAAAAATAAGTGGAAGACACAGAGGCTCAAAAAAATGATAGCTCAAGAACCCAAGCAAGTTAATATTGGGACCACAATCTAACCTAGGCCTATATGATTTCAAAGCCTCTATGTGGGAGCTCTGGTAGTGCAGTGCCTAAGGCACTTGACTGCTAACCAGAGGCTGGTGGTTCAAACCCACCAGCCACTCCTCGGAAGGAAGGTTGGGCAATCTACTTCTGTAGTGATACCGCCTCAGAAACCCCCGGAGG